TACTTCCAAAATTCAAGAAATGGAGACTGAAGAACACATTAAAAAATCAGCTCTTTATTATTATGACTGAAGCCATGGATTCATCTTCTAACAGTTGCCATCTACACTCTTGTAGTAACAGAGGGCAGGAGAGATGAATGCATAAAGATTACATAGCATTGGAGATGAGCACAGACACCTGGTTACAAAGCCCAAAATATCTTAGGGTCCATCTGAAGCTCTAAGTTCCACCCCACTGATGGATGTTACTGGTTTGCCTCTGTTCCCTTGCTCACAACCAGCCAGCCAGATGGAAGCTGCTGGGTGTGTGCTGTGGTAACCTGCACAAACTGAAGCCTCACCAGAGTTAGAGGGAACGTCTGATCACCTGTCAGTGCTCTCTGCACTGAGCTTTGATCTCATATTGTGCAATTCTATTGATCCTGTATTCATGTGACACTGCTCGGTAACCTCATAACTTTGCCTGCCAAAATGTCCCCAAAGTGGAGATAAAAGAACAGGTGAAGAAGAGGAAGATGAAAAACTAAGAATGAGAAATGGTTGGGGGGACTGGGGGGGAAGAGTCAAACTTTTGTCTAGCTTGCTGATACAGTGTTATAGTCTTTACTAGTTAATAAGCTTTTTTTAACAACTTGCAAGTGATCTTTACTTTATCAGGACACTTTTATTGCAAAAAAAGCATTGACATCTGATTAAAATAATTGTTTACAGTGGACTTAAAGGGTGCTTTTTTTTTTTCTGAATACTTACCACATGTGAAGTTTAGGCCATAAAATTCATTGACTACAAGAACTTCACTGCTGTATTTTTGGAAGGTAAAATAACTGAGTATTTTTAAAGGCTTTGGCATTTCTTCGATGGTCCTTAAAGAAACAGAGAAATTAAACTGACTTTTTCTACATTCCAAGAGCCAGTCCTACCCCAAATTAGAACAAGCTCTCCTCTTTGTTTGTGGCCTGTAACAGAAACTGTTCTTGGCTGTACCTGTAGGGTTTTCAAACGTCAAGTCCATTGCAGTGCTAAATGAGCAGACAACCATGAAGGCTGTCTCCAGCTTTGATACAATGTCAGGACATTCAGCTCTGGTTTGTTTATGGATGGTCACAAAGAATTTTATGAAGCTCTGCTATTCATGTTGCAGTGATAAACTGGCAATGACAAGACCAAATAGAAACCTTACTGGCAAAAATGTGTTGCTTCTGAAGTAAGAAGCCACCCCCCCCAAACTCCTCAAAACCAGAAAGACTAAATATCAATTCACTGGGACAAGAACAAAACAAAAATGAAGCAAGAATAATGGAAAGAGAAACAGCATGGAAATTTTGAAATAACATTTCTCAACATGACAGGGCAATTTCTGCACCTAAAATACTGCAAGGCTTTATAATTAAGCAAATTAACAGGAAAAAACAGCAACCCAAGTCTCAATGCTATTTTTAACATCATTGCTTATGAAGATTAATCAAAGAGATTCACAATATTAATTAGCAACATCTTTAATGTAAAATAAAGTTAGAAAGTAACACTTTTTAGAAGTTATCAGTAAAGCATTAGACTACGGTAGTGGGAAAAACTGCCCTGTCATTACAAACATCCACCTTCCTGAAAGCAGGCCTAGCTTTATTTGATTAGCAAGTATTAGCTAAGATCTACTGTGAAAAGACAAAGCATCATCAACTTTGTGAAGGATTAGACTATGATAGTGGGAATAACTGTCCTGTCACTACAAACATCCACCTTCCTGAAAGTAGGCCTAGCTTTATTTGATTTGATTAGCAAGTATTAGCTAAGATCTACTTTGAAAAGACAAAGCATCATCAACTTTGTGAAGGCTCATCAGCTTTTCTTGAGGACAACTTGACATCATCTATTGTTAGGCTTACTTCAGTTTCATTAGATAGATCTCAGGTGGGCATATCCTATTTGCTCAACACCTCAGGAGAACTTCTTTTGACAATAATGCGTTCATTCTGGTATGTTTCTTAAAACACAAGGATTTCAGTATTGAAAAATACAAGGGGAAAACTACAAAGTTGGTGCAATTACAGTGCAAAAACATTTATTTGCACAGTAATAGAGCAAGTGGAGCACAATGTTCCTGCCTATTTATTACGCTAACTTTTTATTTATCATTTTTATGTAGTTCAGTCTGCACAGGCAGAAAAACTGTCTGAAAAGTTTAATGGCCAAACTGGAGAATAACACTAATAAGAGAGCTGAGAACAACTGTCTTTTAAATCACTGTTCCCAGTGTTTAATGTCTGGTAAGTTCCAGCAGTTACTTAAAGTTGTAGGAACTCCTATGTGGTAGGCTCCTTTAATGAGACAGCAATTATGTCATTGCATCACCACTAGTAAAGAATTCAACTGAGTTGATAGATGTTAATTGCCCAGTTTTATCTTCAATTTATTTGCAAAAAGTGAAAAAAGTTATTATCTCTGTTGATATCTATAGTTATTAAGTGCCTAGTTTGTGTGCTTGGTGCAAGGTCTACCACGATACAGTAGTTCTGCCTCTGAGGGATGACAGCTGCACTTTATTCCCCTTGCTACCTGTGCAGCATTGTGCTTCAGCATGACAGATAGTTCAGGAAACTCTTGTATAGGTAGATTATTTTAACCAACACCATAATGAAATAAACCAAAACTTTTCCCTACCTTACTAGTCCAGTTCCCACAATCACGCCAGCCGAATTGAGCAGCACCACTCCACTTTGGACTATATTTGGGTTTTGAACTACTCCCAGTATAACAAGCGTCAGCAGTTCACCAATTATATGAGATGCTAAGACAGCAGCAAAGAAGACTCCAAATCTGGAAGCATCAGGATACATCCCTGTAGTCCTGTACAAAAGTGAGCAAAAGAACATTTAAAAAAATGGTGTTGGGGTACTAAACTTAGAATCGTAGAATCCTTTAGGTTGGAAGGGACCTCCGAGATCATCAGGTCCAACCATTGAGCCATTAGGGCTCTCAAGTCCTCTGCTAAAACAGATCAGAATCTGTCAGGGTTGGAAGGGACCACAAGGATCCCCCAGTTCCAACCCCTCTGCCATGAGCAGGGACACCTCCCACTAGATCAGGCTGCCCAGAGCCTCCTCCAGCCTGGCCTTAAAGACCCCCAGGGATGGGGCCTCAACCACCTCCCTGGGCAACCTTGGAATGTAATTTTTATTTTTGTCTTTATTTTTTTTCAGTTACAGGTTATGAAGTGACCAGTTGATGCCTCAACCCTTAGTATGTTGTGTGGAGCTTTAACACAAAGGACATCCACTGAATATCGTGCTGTAAGTGCAGCTATATGAGGTTTTCTCCAGTTAGGTGAAATAGGGTTTTGTAAAGCTGTAATTGTAGTGGAAATCTGTGTTGTTTAAGATAACCACCAATGCTTTTACAGTCCTTTAAACTGACATCCTCCTTCTTTTAGGGTTTCTGCAGTGGCAGTTAGTTCTGTAAGTCACATATTTACAGAACATCATTACACAGATAATTAACAGACGGCATTTTGCACCTCTGATACTCTGCATGCAGATATAAAAATGGATATATTCAATTAAATGGAAGGCTAATTGAGTTCACCCTCCTGTAATTCATCCAAATGTAATTTTTGCCATGCACTCTATTACAACACTCTGTTCCAGCTTTTCCTTAGGTAACTGAAGGAATAAAGTCCTCCCAGTAAGTACTAAAGAATAGAAAGTTAAGAAGGGCAGGAATTGCTTGGCAAATTTAATTCAGCCATATGTGTATATGACAGATGACAAAGCCTCTTATTACATGGTGACATGCTACTCTTTTTCTAAAATACTTAAACCTAAATTACCTCTAGCTAGGTACAGACTGCATGCTTTGCTTAACTAACAAGAAGCTATTCAACATTTTATTTTCTTTTTCATTGCTTAATGCAAGGTCCTATGCCTTTTTTTTTTTTTCACTAATCAACCACGTTTGAACATGATCTTAAAATAAAAGTGTTTATTTTCTCACTGGCTTTCCTGTAGCATTTTTCTTAACACCAAAATCATCTCTATTGTAAATTGATGACTGAAACATTGACTCTTCAAGTATTAAACAGCCATGAGGTAGCAGGTATTTAACAACCTTTCATCACACGTGGATGCAGAAGGAACAGCTTTCCCAACTCCTAGCATAAAAGTATCACCTTCTCTGATATGCTCTAATACTTTACACAGAGGTATGTAGATACAGACTAGTAAATCTGGCATAGGAATAGAAAGAGAAGAAAGCCTAAGAGAAAAGGAAAAAAACCCAACAACTCAGAAAAGATAATGTTACAGCAATAGAATGGTAGGATTTCCCAGAGGTATGTTTAGCTAGGAAAACCTGCATAAACAGAGGACATTTACTGGGTTGCAAAAGTGGCTGTATTTGCTCTTGGTCAGACTCGCCTTGTGTCTGACCAGGTCAGAGTTTGGGTCTGTATAATAAACTGTCTGACCCTACAAACACAAACTGAGAGAAATGGCTTGTAAGGACACGTACCAGAGGCTATCAAAGCCTCTCCAGAGGTTAGTCCATTCAGGAAAGTTTACACAGAGGCAATCTTCAAAATTTCATAGAGAAAGTGCTTGCCCTGAGAGGTCCAAGTGCACTATGAAATCGCTCTGACACATCACTGATGGCTTCCAAACAACCACGAGATAGCAAAGCTATGCAGAGCCTAATATCTGTAAATATTATCCATTAACTGGAACCACAGTCTTTATCGTTGACTGTATTTCAAGCCACCAAAGCACAAGGGCAAAGTCTCTGCCCATACAAATTTCCTGTTTGTTAAGCAGTGAGTGTGGAAAACAGTGGTTTGTGATCTTCAGCAGCTCCACAGACTTCATTAAGCCTGTAAAGATAATTTCCAAACGGCTGTCTGCTCTGCAACCAGCTCACTAGCAGGCACAGGGCACCCTCTAAATGCTCAGTGGGAGGAGGAGTAACTTCTGCTTCCCTGTGCAAAGGGAGCTCTCAGGGAGCACTGTTTGAAGCAGGCAGCACTGGCAGCTTGCAGAAATAAAAGCCCAGGTAGCTGAGGGGACAAAGAGAAAGGTGGCCTTGCTTGAACAAAACTGCTTCTAACATCAGCACCAAACTACAAAAAAATAAAAACAACCAACATATGCATGTTCTTGCATTTGGAGGAGCAGAAATCTCCCTCTCAGGGCTTTTGTCTTTTCATCTAGGAGCTGACAGTTACTGAGGTTAACTGACGTATGCATGTTCTTGCATTTGGAGGAGCAGAAATCTCCCTCTCAGGGCTTTTGTCTTTTCATCTAGGAGCTGACAGTTACTGAGGTCCCAAAGGGAAAGAATTAGGTAAATGCTGGGCACTTCCCCTCGTTACCTACTACAGACAAGGAGGAAGAAGAAAAGAGTCATCTTTATTCCTGAGGTTTTCTAGATGGGAGAATAGCTCTTGCAAAACTCCTGTGGCAGATTAGCTCCATGCACTGAAGTTCTTAGTAGTGGAACTTCAGCAGTTCTCTGCAGTAGTTTGTAACCAAGAACTTCATAGTTCTTAGCATTCCCCTTAGTTAGTTCTTCAGAAGTCCAAGTGATTCGATACTTCATCCATTTTCAAACTGCCCAAGGGCATCTTACTGCAGATTAAGAACACTAACATGCTGCTGCACTTTATCTCTTTCACAAGGGTATATGCACTTCTTATTTCTCAACAGCCAACCCCAGACCATGCATCCAGGACACAAACCAAGCCTGCTACTCATTTGTACACGTTTTACTATAGACTGCCAACTGATTGCAACTTCACTGCCAACTGCAAAAGACAAAAATTAACTTTAGTGCATGACAGATAATTAGAAAAAGGAAAAAACAGAACAAATCAAACAAAAAAAACCCCACCAAACAAAAATGAACAAACAGAAAACAAGAAAAAAATGAAGGACAGAAATTGGTCCTTATTACTTTGCTATTAGCTTACATAGTAAGCCATGGAAGTTTAGAACAAGCAAATGGGAGATGAGAAATCTATGGAATAGAAATGAAGAGCAGACCCATATGATAGAGAAGGCTAAATAATTCATCACCCCATTCTTGATGCGAGGAAATTAATGTACTGGGGGAACAAAAGCAAGCTTTACAAGTAAACTCTCTATCCCCCTCAGAAATCCACTTCAGTGCCTTTCTCTGGAGAGTGGAAGAACAGGACCCAGATCTCACCCCTTCCATATGCTGTAGCTAAAGCCCAAGTGCCCCAGGAAATATGGAGCTTTGTTACTGTCACACACCTACTGCTGTCTTCCTCACTTTTTTGCCTCTTATTTGTTATCTTTCTAAATGTAATGTAAAATGACACCTCCAGCTTTTGGTATGACACAAGAATGATAAATGTCCCAGGCCCATTAAAACTTCCCAAGTTACCTAGAGAGCTGGTAACTTGCTCAGAAAGTGTTTTAACACTGCCTGAAAGAGAACAGCTAAAAGGGTGTTATTTTTCCTTAAGATCTGTCTGACAGGCAACAGCAGGAAGCCATGGCACGATGCCTGCTGCTGACATGGTAATTGAAACATAACACAAAGAAAATAATCCAATAGACAGTAGAAGTGCTTACCAGTATATAAAGGTGCTGAAGATTGCCACGCTGATGACACTGAAGGGCAGGAAATGTACTATGTAGGCTAAAAGCATTTGCCACTTCTTGTACAAGCCATCTTTACTTTCTTGGTCACTGATAGCACGCAAAGGTGGGACTGGATTAAATATGTAAGAAACAAATTAAATTGTCATTGAATAAAGAGACCAAGACTTGTTGCTAGCAAAAGTAACCTGAAGCACGGAAACAACTTTGAGAATATATCAGAAACTTTCTGTCTAAACCAGCATGGTCACTTTTTTCCCCCACAATAAATGCAAAACATGCTCCTTGCAGATTGAAAAGTTGGTCAGCTTCATGCAAGAGGCCTAACTGGGCAACACGCAGGACAGCCTTCTCTTTTTGCAGATACAAATTAAAGGCATGAAAAAAATGGATAATTTCTGGAAGTGCTCTGATCCCAAGGTGATGACCTGTTCCCTACAGGAGCAGAATACCTTTTAGAGCTGTAAATAAAACTACTGTTGGTCTCTAGTATGGCAGCTGTAAAAGAAACACCCTCTAAGAAAAACGCAGTCGTTATGTAATACTCTTACATCTAATTATGCTTAATTGTTGTCAAAGCTGTTTTGTACTTCCATCCTTTCCATATCTTTGCTTTCGATCTCACTTAAGATGTTATTAACTACAGACCTAGACTTTGTCCTGCCTGGATAATGCTGCAGGCAGGTAACTGAAGGGCTTTTGCAGAGTGCAGAATGGAGGCTCCGTAGAGAGGCAGGCTGTGCGAGGGCAAGGCAGGGAGCAGGGCACATCCCCTCATCCAGTGCAGGGAACCTGGAGCCCCTCCAATAGGCTCATCTTCTGTGCTGGGAAGCTTCCTGTTGCTTCACCTTTGTATTTAATTTCCTTTCTCTATCAGCTCTGACATTAACTAAAACTTTTAAATTGCTTTTTTCAAAAAACAGTTTTCCTGTTTACAAAACAGTGGCAGCAGTAACCTGCTGCTGCAGGTAACACAGGACAGAAACTCACAAAGGGCCACAGCATTGAGCATCCCTGTGTAGGGGGGGGCACTCACGCACTGGTAGATAAGCCCCACACGGTCCTGCACGGCTCCTTTTACCAGATCATTCCTTAGCCTCAGAAGGAAAAAGGCTACAAACGAGCCAAATAGCACATTCTGGAGGAGACGCATGATGATGCCTATCTTATCTCTGGAGAAGTTTCTTGTTGTCCTCCTGGTAAGAAAGCAAAACAACAACAACATGCCTGTCAGCGATGACTGACCACATGTTGGCAGGATATTTGGCTCTGAACAAATCTCATACACACAGTGTCCACAAAAAGGTAATATATTAAGACAGGGACAAGTACAATGGGAGACCAAAATAACCAAGACAGTGCATTTGTATATGAGAGGGAAAACCCAAAACATTAGTGGAGAAGAAAAGAGATTTTTCTATTAAAAAGGAAAAGAAAAAAAAAGCTAAAAAAAAAAGTCTTACCGTAAAAGAATCCACGATTTGTAAAAGGCACTGGGCGAGTCTTTGTTTTTGAATGGTATTGGTGGCAAATCTTTCATACACTTTGTTCTCTCAATGGCTGCCAGTACGTTGCTGAAGATTTCTGATTTTTTGTAGGCTGATACAATTACCTGAACCCTACTGTAGGTTTCGAGTTCACGTTCCTTGCTTCGGGTGTCCACAGATGTCAAATCCACTGTAAATTTACAAAGTGTTAACTATATAGACACATCACTTTCCCTTCATATCTCTTCCCCCTTGCAACTTCCCTTCCCTTGTCTCTATCCTAAAATCTGCAAAGAAGAAAAGGTCCATTGAAAGTATTCAAGGTTTCTTTTACTCTGTGCTTTTGTTAGAAGTGACATGAATGAGTAACTGTGCAGCCACAACAAACCTCTGCATTTTGTGGCCTCTGTAGGGCCCTGAAGTCTTAGTCCTTTATCTGGAAATGCAAGGACTAAGCAGTGGTGTGTTGGTCAGAACCTCAGCATTCTCCTTGCACAGCACAGAGATGGGCCACCAGTGAAGCACTGCTGCTGCCCAGAGCAAGACAGAGCACAAGCTGAGAATGAACATTGATGAGGATGAAGAGATGACTTTCTGGCCACATATTTCTCATGTTTTCAGGCAAATGCTCAGACATGGCTCCCCCATTCCCCTGTGTCCTCTGCCTGCTCCTCCATTACCACAGAGTTCTGTTTTTCAGTTAGCCTAGGCTCATGCTGCAGTGATGCTGCTCTTCTCTACCTCAGCTGCTACTCCACTGCTGCACTGTGTTTCACCCACCTCCTTCTCAGACATGCTTCTGTTTAAATGTCAAGTTAGAGGATGTTCACAGCCCAGGCTGAAGAAAACATTACTTACTGCTGTGGAACTAACAAAAAGGAAATGCTTCACAGAGTTAAACGTTCCTTTCGTATAAATCCACCTATAGCTATTTCTGACACCAGTAATTCTTTTATTGGCAGATGGGAACTTTTTGTGTGCTATTTGAACAAGTCACACAGATTCAGCAATAGTGCTAAAATGCATTAGAAATTTCATTTTTCCCTAATAGCAATGAATTATCTGAAGTTTCAAAAACTAGACTGTCATTGTCAGGAATATCTGTTCTTACAGATTTTTAGATCACTCTTCTACATCTGCTAAGATGCCTTTATCAGTCACTTACTCCTAAAGTTTCTGTCTTTCATTTACAGTGTTATGCTCAACTTCAAAACACAAAATGAGCAAGAGAAAAGGAGGCCTTATTCAAGATTCTTTATTTGTCCTCAAAACTTGAATTCAGCTTATGAATACTTCCCTAGTGTTCTGAAAGCTGGAATTCAGTAGAATTATCTTTAATGGCAAACATACCCAAAATGAAGTCTTCAGTTTTGTAAATATGAACATCTGAAATGCAGACATATCAGTCATTTACTCCTAAACTTTCTGTCTTTCTACAGTGTTATGCTCAACTTCAAAATACAAAATGACCAAGAGAAAAGGAGGCCTTATCCAAGATTCTTTATTTGTCCTCAAAACTTGAATTCAGCTTATGAATACTTCCCTAGTGTTCTGAAAGCTGGAATTCAGTAGAATTATCTTTAATGGCAAACATACCCAAAATGAAGTCTTCAGTTTTGTAAATATAAACATCTGAAATGCAGACATGCTTTTTAAAACTTGGCCAGTGTGACTTGCTGGAAGTCACATAAGAAATAAATAGCAACCAGGTGTGTTTTTAAAAACCATCTAGTCACTAGACCAAAGAGCTGAACTTTAATACAAATGGAACATGTTAATATTTCAGTAACATAATCCACATCTATTTTCCTCTGCTGGTGGTGTAAACGGTACCAGAATCTGTCCCTTCATTCACATCATTAAATCACACAAAAAAATATAAACTACCAATTTTCCAAAGACTAAATATTCTGCTGATTCTTTGCTGTGAACTGTATTTTTTCCCTTTTCTTGTCACATTCAAAGGTTGACATTTGAAGAATGTCATACTGTCTTTACTGAGCTTTTTTAAAAGTGGGTCTAAATCTCAAATCATCTATGCTTTTCAAGACTGTGAAGGCAAAATTATCCTCACTGTCACACCAGTATTTTCAGCTTCATCCCATTCCAGCTTCACATCAACAAGCATCCTCTCTTCTCTCTGACTTTAGGATGCCACCCAGACAACAGGAAAAGGCTGTCTCCCCTGAATGTAGCTTTTTGGCTTGGTCAGATTCCCTGGTGAATGCTCAGCTAGTATCATCAGACACCAGCCCACACACCAGATTTGAAAAGAGAGAGACACACACGTATGTATCCCTCTGCACACACGTTCTCTTCAAACATTTATCTGCATGGCTCAGGTACACAGATGCCCTGCAGTAAAACCAAGCCTCATTTCCAAAGTCTCATGCTGACACTTCTTCCCCATTGTGAATTGGTAAAACAGGGCTCTTCAGCTTTTACCAACATCTTGTTGGCATTCCCTCCTGAAGCATCCGCATCTTCTGCTCCCGTAGCTCACTCTGGTATTAGCAACTCTCTGAACTCCTGGAAACCTCAAACTATTAATCTCTGAAAATCACCAGCTGCATGAAGTTAACATTCCTTTTCTACTGGTAGTTCACTCCTTTCTGCTGTGTTTCAGACCTACTGCAAACTTTTGCCATTTGATGGTGTCAGTGGAGGTTACATGGGCCCAGCCCTCTCTCTTCTCTGAGTTGAGAATAATCACAAAGTTGGGGAAGAATTCAAACACATTTCTATCTCTGGAAAAACTCTAATTTGGAGAAGAAAACAACTTGTTTGCCTAAAGGAAAACCCTATTCTTACCAAAACAACTTAGACAAACTTACCATAGAAATCAAAAGGATTTGATTGTTCAGGACAAGAGTAGCCACAGTCACTAAAAAAGGTGATCATTTCCATAGGGTTCCCACAGAAAACCATTTCACCAAAGCTCATGATGGCTATTTTGTCAAATAGCTGAAGAAGGCAAATTAATACATTAGTAATCTGTATTGAGAAGTGCATTCATTCTTGAGTACAGCTACTGTCTTGGTAAATAAAAGTGCTTTGATCAGGAAAAACAGTTTTGACACATTCAAACTTCCAGAGTCTATTTAACTTAAAGAAGTTTGTCCTTTTTTCTGCTCCTCTCAGTGGTTATGCAAGATGACAAATATTTGAGCTCTTAAAACTAGTGATTCTCAAAACTGTCAGGAACAGCAGCATCCAGAGGTAATCCACAAACTGAAATGGGAGCTGTGGACTTCTGACTTCACTTGTAATGCACTTTCACTTACTGACTGAGCTCCTTTGGCACTCAGTAGCCCCACTCTGTAAAATCCCCAAATTGTTGGGGAGGTTATCCTGAAGTGCCTAAGGACTTTAACAGCCCTGCTCTTTGTCTGAACATTTGCCAGGGTAGGGTTCCCACCAGCTATGATCCATCTGTTTTTCCAAGGCACTGGGATTGCTTTCAGGCCAGAAAAGCACCGTTGGTCCCCTCTGGCTTCACGACCACTTACAGCCCCAGACAGCTGGGGAAGAGGGGCCTTGCATTCCCGTGCTGGGTGGTGGATGTGTCAGAAGAGGAAACTGTGAAACAGTAACAGAAAGGGAGAAATGCTCTCCCCAGCACAGGCCCTGCAAGTCAGGCCTGCCCCAACACATCACCAAGGTCAACCCACATCACTTGAGGAAAAAAGAAGAATTTTTTTTCCTTTCCATTCCAAATCATGGCTTTATCTGCCTCAAGCTGCAAGTGTTATTGAAATATGAGTACCTAGAGATAAAGTGGTAGATTTTACAGTGCCTGCATTCATGGGGGGTTTAAGTGGCTTCTTGCAGTGTTTTTGATTTGGGTGGTTGCATAACAAAAAGGTTAGGGACACAGTCAGTGTACATACTATTTCCACAGGGCACCGTGTCCAAAAGTGCCCTGTGGCTGGCAGAAGGCCAGAGCTGTAAAGTTTGAAACAAGCCTGTATTTATGTATGGGGAAAGGAAGACAGCCTTTAAAGGCAACTATACTTGATCTTGTACTTTTATCCTGAAAAGAATCTAGGTACAGAATAGCCTGGTAAAAAAAGTAAATAGTGAGTATCCTTTACCCTGAAGAGTTCTGAGCGAGGCTGATGAATTGTAATAATTACAATCCTGTCCCTGTGTGCAAGCTCTGAGAGAAGTGAGACAATCTGGTTTGCAGTCAGGCAGTCCAGCCCTGTTGTTGGTTCATCAAGGAGCATGACCTCTGGGAAACGACAAGGAATAGCATTAAAACTCAGGTAAATGGGGAACAAAGGTTATCACTTCTGCCCTTGAAGCTAAATTGGGAAATAGAAAAATTACTTCACAGGTGAAGCAGAGTATGCATAGATTGCCATGATGTGATCTTTCAGTTACCTCCAGTGGTTCTGCTTCAATGATTAGGAGCAAGGACAAACTACTGCAGGATCAGGGCATAATAATTTTTTTCTAAGTTCAGGTGAAACCTGAAAATTCCCAAAATAGACTTGATGTATACATCTGTTTCTAAGAACAATGACAATATATTTCAGCATGTACACAAACATAAATATATCTGATATAATCATCTAGAAGATATAATCTGAATTAAATCCATATATACACATGGAATTTGTTGTGAACAAACTAAGAGCTGTTAAAACACAGGATATATAATTCCACAGACAAGAGGGGTGGGCAGGTTTTACTGCATTTTTTTCATGGTTATGTTGCACCTGTAAGGGTAAAAGTTACAATCAAATCCATTATTTCACATAGATGAGACGTAGCACAGAGGAGAGCAGTTCAACTTTGATCAGGATAAGGGAGGAGGAGAGCTTTCTCTATAGGTTTATCTACACAGAATTACTACAGTGTTTACTATAGAGTTTAGTGAACTTACTGAGCAATTACTACACGCAATGAATAATCCACAAGTCACCAGTAGCAATGACACACCTCACTTTGCTGTTTAAATGCTCCTTCCTGCCTGGTATGCAGTCCTAGCACATCTGCCCCCACAAGGGCTCCAGAATCCAATAAATGTGTGCTATACATTCACTCCGTGAAATTCTGGAGCCTTTAAGAAACTGTCTCAAACCCAAAAAAAAGTACTATCTGCACCACTACAAGGGCTCCAGAATCCAATAAAAGTGTGCTATACATTCACTCCATGAAATTCTGGAGCCTTTAAAAAACTGTCTCAAACCCAAAAAAAAGTACAGTGCTGTTTCCTATGGCTAATCCATCTAGTTAGTCTGCTTCAATTTTCACTCATCAGAATCTTTTTGGCTCTGGATGTACATGGTGCTCACACGTAGGTGGCTCATTGCTCACCACTCCACTGTAGGGCTCAATGGTTGTGTTGTGTATATATGCTTCTGATGCATGGCTCAAAAATAAATTAAATATAACAAAAAATAATGTGCCACAATCAACATTTCATACACAGAACAGGCAAGCCCAGAAAGGCTTTAAATCCATAAATGGGAATCTAAGTCTATGTTCAGTCCCTAAGATTTTTTAAATCATCTACTTTCCAAGAGCAACGAAGAGATTAATGGCAGACCTGAGTCACTGCTCTTCCTTTCCTGCCATTACCTGACTACTTTTTGCTGAATTACAGAAGAGAAATGTGTATTTTGAAGTGGTTGATGGAGGCCCACGGTAGGAACACAAGGGGACATTGTTTTAATTTGACAAATCCATGCAGAGTTACTTACTGGGATCCTGTAACAGCTGGGCTGCAATGGAGACACGGCGCCTCTCACCCCCAGAAATTCCTGCAAACGTACGGCTGCCTATTATTTTGTCAGCAATGTGGCTGAGACTCAGCTCAGCCATAACTGCATCGACCTGAAAAATAACTGTCATTTAGAAAGGCTGAACACAGTCCAACCCAGTTACCTCTGTGCAAAAGGAAAAAAAAAGGGAAAAAAAAGGAAAAAAAAGAAAGAAAATGACAGAATTTTAAGCTATGGCTTTCCCAATATGCTGCTTGTGTCCATTCTATTTGGAAGGTATGTGTCTCATTTCTATTTGATTATTTTTAATATATCATTTCAAATATTATGTTTTAAATTTTATTTTCATTTATACTGAAAAGAGTAGAATTTTAGTTTCAGTTGACATTAAGAGATGAAGAGTTCAGAAGTGGGACTAGGACTTAAGGTATGGAGCACAATGTACTGGTCTGGCTTCCAAAATAAAGGAGCAGAAAGGCACATCAGTTCTGGGGAAGTATTAAATACTGAGTGGAAGACAGCTAAAAAGAGAATGCAGAGATCAAGAGCCTTTTGGTTAGAAATATCCAGTCTTCACTCTCAACAGAGGCCAAAAAGAGTCCTTTAATAGATCTGAAACACACTTATTCTATCAAGAAAGTAGTTTGTAGGGGGCTTATTAGACCAGTGGTTTTTGGAGCTGTTCTGGTTAGTGAGAGAAGCTGGAGTAGTGTAAAAGTCACCTCTGCTGTCCATCTGTAAAAGTCACCTCTGCTGGGAAACACCCCAAAGAACTGTGTTTCCCAGCTGGGCCAGGGGAACGGGCCTCAATACCAACAGTGGCATCTTCTGCAGCAGCAACTGTTGCAGCTTCGGGCAGGAAATTTTTGTCCCAGCATACTGGTGATTCTCTGGGGCATCAGCACAAGCCCCTTGCAGAGGCAGGGAGCACCAGACAGCTTGTGTCCTGCTCCTCAGCAGGAGGATTTCTCCCCGTTTGCAAAATGAGGATTACAAAACCTTGCAATATAAAATACACCCACGGATGGAAAGTGCTGCTGGGAAAAGCATTACATGACATCATGTCTGCCTTTCTGGGGGAAGATGATAAAATACAGACCTTCTTTTTGATGAAGTCATTGGAGCATTTCTGAAGAGTTAGTAAAGCAGTGTAGGTCAGAGACTCTTGTATGGTGAGGAAGCTTAACAAAGTGTCACTCTGAAAAAAAAGGTTAAGAGGAAGAAGTAGTTAGTCCTGTAGTAATTAAGATCTTGCCTCTGCTCTCATGACCTTCATTCATTCATACAATTTATTAACTGCTTTGTAACAAATTTACTAGTAAAAGCACAGTCAGATTACACTGCCCCATTACTCTAGCAACTTTCTTTATGTGAGAGAAAGCACAGTGCACAAAAATAAATGTAGAAATCAACCTGTGGCACATAGGAGAAGCAATCTCTAAACTGTTCCTTCTTCAGCTGATGCCCATTCACGTACACTTCACCAGAAAAGTTGTCTTTATGTCCCAGTCTTCCTGATATTGCATCCAGAAGTGTTGTTTTCCCAGATCCTTTCAAACAAAAGAAATTAATCATGTGATGAGATGAATGTTATGATTTCAAGAGCAGTAGCCTCACTTGAATGGAGACTTATGAAAAGAAGAAAGTTGTGTTGTTTTTTTTTTTTCTCAAGAACATTAAAATAATAAGTCCTGAAAATGAAGCCAGTTAAGGAGAATTAAATGGGAAACCTAAAATGTGTGTAAATTAGCATTTAGTTAATACCAATTCACACTTCATAGTGAAACATTTGGGTTTAGAAATAACCTTATCTTTTACTGAAGTTACAATTGTTAGTAGATTGAACTCTGAAAGCCAAACACCACTGTTCTACAAAGCAGAGGTTAAAGCTGCTGCAATTTCATTATTTAGCATTCAGTTCTCAGTCACATTCATACCACTGTGGCAGTCACCGGTATTAACTCTGATCTTATTTCTTTTAAAGTACTGGAACAACTTACCAGAATTTCCCAAAATCCCCATAATCTGTCCACTCTCTATGTGAAATGAAACATCCTTAAGTATTTGCCGTGTCCATTTTTTACGATATAAAGATATGTTCCACCATGGGCCAACACGTTCTCTTGGAAAACAAACATCAAAAAAGATTAAATACAGAAGACTAAAATGTCGTGTAAAGCAAGTGAATGGTTTGTAGCTACTTGCATGGGAGATGGAGCCTGCAGGTTTTTTAAATATGGGGACAAACAAACAAACAATTCCCCCTCACGCTCCCTAGGCTTTAACTTTTTAACTTCAGCATTATTGGGAAGATAAAAAGAAGTCTGAACCAGATTTTTCAGAATCACTACTAGGAGGCTTTCAGAAGACAACCAAAAAGGGCAATTTCAGCTGCGGCTTTATTCGTTGATGTCGTTTGCCAGCCATTAACCCACCAGATCATTTCCTTAGGGCCTCATGTCATCCTTCTGGCAGCAGTAGGAAAGGACAAAATCTTTGGAAATCTCTAAAGCATCTCTTTCAGAGATGTGAAGAAGAACTGGTGAACCCTCTGGAGGCTCTGCCTCCCTCCAGCCACGTACTCTACCCCTGTGGTGCGCAGCCCAGCACCAGGAGGCAGGTGGCCCGGTGACGTCCCTCATTCTTGACTGGGCTGAAGCCAAACCCACACAGCCCACCGGTCCCAGCCCCTCTCCCCTCGGTCCCGGGGGTCGGAGCAGCTCCTGGCAGGCAGGGGGTTCACGATGCCACCCTCCCTGCCCTACCTGATGCTGTAGGAGACGCCCTGGACACTGATGCTGTTGGAGAGCTGCTGCACCGTGGCCTTCGCCTTGACTGTCTGGCGGCTGCTGCTGCTCCTCTCCAGGGCAGGAGACCCTCTGCCCGACATCCTCTGGGGCTGGGGCCCCACCGGCTCCCCACCTCACGCTGCTGGCCAGGCGCCCGATGCTGCCTCCACCATGTCTCCCCCAGCACTGGGCAGGGGCAGCTCCCCACTGTCCCCGAGTCAGAGCAGGTCACTGCCCCCGACACTCACCACCCAGGGAAGCACTTAAAAGAAAACAGAAGTGCTCCCAGTTGCTCCTTTTTCCGGAGAACAAGTGATAGGTGATTAGCTGACGCCGCTATCTGATGTACCTTTAGCCCAAGCTGTTCTGGCCCCAGAGGAGGGGAATATCTCCCTGTCCACGGGGTCAGGCTGGCTGCAGAGGCGCAGCGTGCCAGGAGAAATGGAGCTGTGGTGAAGACGCCTGGAAAAGGCTGAGCTCGACACCAAAAGGATTTCCACAGCTTTCAAACAGCCAATAGTCCAACCAGCACAGGGAGCAAGACCATGAAGGACACCACTGAAAATGTCCCTCTGGATGGGGCCGGCTGGAGGCGGGTGGCCTGCGAGGGCTTGCCGGTGAGTGAGACCTGTGGGGAGCGGGCGCTGGTGCGACAGGCTGGGTCCTGCCACAGCTACCGCTACTGCCTGGGAGCTGGGGGAGGCCAGCGGCCGCTCTGCCAGCTGGGCTCCTGCAGGCAGCGAGCCCTTCTCCCCTCCAGCCCTGAAATGGGGAGTGGAAAGCATTCGCACCCCCCACGAGAGCACACTGAGGGAAAGGCTGGTGCCATGCAAGCCACACTCTGGTGGAGCTGGGAGAGGTGATCTTCAGACATGTGGATGGAGCAGAACATCCCTCAACACAGTCTGGACTGGCTTTCCCAGAACACGCTTTCGGGCTGTGAAAACAGCTCCCCAGATTTGCTGGGAACCACCTATGCTTTTAAAAATTTTCAATGTAAGCAAGAGTGCAGAGTGCTTTGGCAGCAGTGGGAGCTTGGAGGGTTTTAACATGGCTTTTCAAGCTGCTTGGTGTCACGCTGCTTTCTGCTGTCTATCTAGACTGGAAAGATTAATTAGCCTGGTTTGCTGTGAGGGTAGGAGGTGCACAAAGATTGTGGTCACCCTCTGCCAAAGATACCACAGGCATAGATAGAATCTGCTGTACAGGGAACAGGTACGTTTGCCTTGGCTAGGAAATGAGCTTGTCTCGTAGGAGACACACAAGGCTCTGGGAGAGATCTGGCTGTCTGGAGTAAAGAGGCAAGCACGCAAACAGAATTAAACCCAAAGCCAGAAAGCTGCCTCGGCAAAGACTTCTTAATTGTAATTATACACCAAAGGTTAAAGAAGCCAAGTAGAGGCTCTGTTATTTTAACTCATATCTCGGGACACCAAGTTCCAGTTGACAAACTGAATTTAAAGGACGAAAGAGGAGTAAAAGAGACTGTACTTATGGTCACACACCTACTCGTTCATAAAGCCTCCAAGTTAACGAGGCCCTTTGGAATTCTATAAGAAACACACTTCTAGTGAACGTTAATTTTTACCTGCCATAACTTATGAACATCCATATGCACCGTTTTGATCCAGCAGACTAACCCTGCAGCAGTACATTTTTTCCTCAAAGCCAGAAATAGAGTCCAATTTCTCTATGGTGGCATGACATTTATCTCCATTTCTACAGTGATCTCATTTAAACAGAAAGCAAACAGCAGGGCATTGCACAGCATTTCTGTCCCTCTCCCATGCTGCTAGAACAAAGTACCTTTCACACTGATTAACAGATAACTCATATCAGCCCTTCAGACTTTTGCACTACAGTAACCTATCAAAAATAGCTATATCTCATAAAACATACTTCCCTTTCTGCCTCACCTGTTGTGAACTCAAATTTTATCAGCACTTTAGGTATTGTAATTAACTATTTTAATTAACAATTTTTCCAGGCCAAGGACAATATTTTTTGCTCTGAAGAAGACAACAGTCTGTATTTCACATACAGCGGAGAATCAAACGTTCTCGAGGTCAAAGAACTCAACTACCAGGTAAGAGTTGTACTTTATACACCTCCCTTCAGCAGGGAGCACATCCAGCAATATTTGTTTTTATATGCAAGCCATTGTAAAAGCCAAAGTTGAAGTTCACAAAACTAATTCACACAACCATTACACAAATAGAGGTTTTTTAAGGAGAACCATGCTCTTGGCTGCAATGTTGACAGCAGGATAAACTCTCTGTTCTAAATGTATCTAGCAAATCTAGGGGACAAGACAGGAAAAGAGGTTTGTCTCTAGGCTCTGTTTTTTGTCAGTCTTGAGACAAATTATTCCTCTGAGGGCTAGGGCAGAGGGGCTTTCCATTCAGCTAAGGATGTCAGGAGCCCTTGCTGTCAAAATGAGCATGTGGAAGGAGACAAGGAGAAGATGCAAACATAAGGAGAATTTCAGGGAACCAGAGAAATTTTTCATCTTCCTTTATGCTACCATGGCATCTAAAGTAGACTTCACAATCTTCAGTTTTGTGTAATGTAACATTGTAGTTTAACAAGCTGAAATTTACAATGCCCACAAATTACTAAGGTAAGAGAGGACAGAAATAGTGTTTAACAGGAATCAGAAGCAAAGCACAGAAAACCATACGTGGCTGTAAAAGAATGTTCTTCCATGTATTTATGAACATTAATATTATTATTTTAAGATATTCTCTGCTTGTGACATCATAGCTTTGAACATTTTATTGCTAAACTTTGTTGGAATTGAAAGGGCTTGTTTCTTCCTTTGTTAGGTTAACATGACATCCCAGATCCCTTGGTATGAAAGCCTGGCACAGATGAAAATGCCATGGGCCTGGAAATCAGATCCCCATTCTCATGTGGCAATAATTCAGAATCTGAATTTAAAAGTTCGGAGTGGTCAGATGCTAGCTGTTATAGGAAGCACTGGTAAGAGCAACAAAATTTCATTATTTGAACAACTCTCAGCTAAAATGTATAGAGCACAAATGTGCTCTGCAGTCTTTTGAATGGAAAAATCTAGCTGGGAAACAATTATTGGAAATGTGTAATTTAAATACATTCCTTAAAATGTATGAGGAAACAAAGAATTATATGGGAGGAGTGGGGAAACAACAAAATTTTATTTGCAAAACCAATGTTGTTATGACTTGTACTCATTTGCTGTTTGTTTCCTGAGGTGTAGTGGGGAATTGTTGTATCTGTGGCCTTCAGTCCCAGCTTTGCTAGACGTGAATCAAGTTCATGGCCCAGATTCAGAACAAACCAGTTGCAGATCTTATCCAGTTACATAGCAGCCAAATGAGGCCAGACACCATAAGAAAGATTGGTGGCAACTTGCATAACCATAAGCAGGAATTCCCTTCAGACTGAAACACTTTTAACAGGATAAAATATTGCCTTTGGATCAATTAAGAGAAACTTACAGAGAAGAAAAGACCGTTCATCTTCTGCTTGGCTTCACAATGGGTCTCTGCTTTCTTAATTTTTTTTTCCCCCTTTCATTTTCTGGTAGGACTGGTTTAATCTTCTCCAGGGTGAGGCTGGCTAGTAGAGGGGTGGCCTTTACTCCATGTGGTTAGTTGAGACTGTGCTCATCTAGGGGGATAAGAAGCAGACACGTGACCTGTTAAACTGAGGTAAAAAGTACCCCTATTTTGGAGGTAGAAACTCCAATGCTGTGTTTCCACTCGACCCTCACATCTGGTTAGCTCAGTGAGTCAGTGAAGAGGCTCTCTCTCCCAAAGGCAAGGCATATTTGCCAAAGAAGTTTTAAGTTTATTTCTACAAAAGAGGTGTTTCTTCTCCATTGCCATGAGGGGTTTTTTTTTAACACATATCTTCAATGTAACTGAAGTTGTACCTTAGAGATCCTCCTGATAATAAAAGGAAAAGCTTGTGATAAAATAACATATTGAGTTATAGATATAGAACCTTTGTAAGGTAATATATACTGAGCAAAAACCCTTTTCAGAAACTAGTCAAACTATTTTTAAAAGCTGTTTATCATCTATTTCATCAAATGCCTTAGTAAAATGGATTAAACTGCTGATGGGTTTCACATTGTCAATGGCAATCAATATGTCAGTCTTAAACGGAACAATATGTGGTTTACAGATGGATGGGTTTCTTTTTAAAAATTTATATATCAAGAAGCAAGTGTGGAGTTAATCTTTCAACAGGGAGACGAGAAATAAATGACATCTAATCATAATAAGAGAGCTCTGTGTATTTACATACAATATCATACAGCAAAAAGGAAAAAATCATTTGCTATTTAATTTCAAACCAGATGTTGTTGTTTTCACTGTTTTACTTTTCTTACCTCTGAGTATGAGCCAGCTTTTCTTAGTTATTCAAATGTCTTTTTGTTTTATATAAGTCATAATAATTTTTATTTCAATCATGATTAAGATTCTTATTGTCTGTATCATCTTCAGTGCCTTAGTCATACAGCTGTTCCAGCTGCTGTTTCTGAATTCACAATTCCCTCCACTAAGCAAGCTCTTGCCAAGCATTTAGGTCCCAGCCCTGCAGCCAGCACAGGATATCACACATTGCAAAAGTGAAAGACAGGTAACAGGAGGACAAAAAGGTCTTGCTTCTTGAGTTCATGGAGCTGTGCTCAACGCCCGGCTACGCAATTCTGCTAAGAAATGACAAAGGTTAAAATTCCATTCTAGAGGAGAGAGATTCCCTGCATGTGAGCTTGTAGTTGGTATTTTCTTTCAAGACGACTCTGTGACTTTGGAAAAGCTTCAGGAAAGGTTGGGGAAAAGACATTAAAGAAGGGAAACTTCTCTGTCTGTGACTAAACCGCTTTCCGAAATGATCCCTCGGGAATTAATTTAATTTTCCATTTTGATTTTCCTAGCTGGTGGAAAGACATCCTTGCTTGACGTGATAACCTGCCGGGACCACGGAGGCAGAATCGAGTCTGGTCAGATCATGATCAACGGCAAAGCCTGCACGCCCCAGCTGGTTAAGAAGTGCATAGCACACGTGCGGCAGGATGACCGGCTGCTCCCCCACCTGACTGTCAGAGAAACCCTACTGTTCGTTGCCAAACTGCGCCTTCCAAAGTCTTTCTCAGACTCACAAAGGCAAAAAAGGGTAATTAAGCTACTGGGGAAAAAAATAAAGTTGTCAAAAACGTGTCTGACAGGAATTGTCCAAGAGTCCCGTGTGTTTGGAGTCAGAACAGCTAATCTGGCATTTTTTTTTAGTAGATTATGAATTATAAACCTTTTTCTTCTTTTGAGATAGAAACCAGCAATTGTTCCAAAGCTCATAAAAAATGACAATCTAGAGAAAGCATTAGAGAGGTGGAAAGAAGAACTAAATTGCTGATTACTGAGGCTTTTTTAACGCTATCTCTAAAATCAAGAGTTGTTGTCAAGAGTCTCTTGATCAAGTAGCACTGAAATACCCAGATGAATTTTTAAACCAGGTTAAGCACATTTTCAGATTTATCTGCACACAAAGGTGCAAATAAGCTCTTGCTTTGTTTCTGCCACCCTTCGGATCCCCCCAGGTGGAAGATGTGATAGCAGAGCTGCGCCTGCGCCAGTGTGCAAACACCAGGGTAGGGAACGAGTACCTGCGCGGCGTGTCGGGAGGAGAGAGGAGGAGGGTGAGCATCGGCGTGCAGCTGCTCTGGAACCCAGGTGAGCAAAACCCCGACACCTTCCCTGTGCCCACCACACACCACTGGAGGAAATGGGGCAGTAAAGGAAGGTAGGAGCCTGCAGGAAAATCTGGGGCAGCTCGAGGAGCTCATAGGCAGGACAATTAACAGGCCTTGCATCACCCTCTGCCTGAGGCTACCTCTCCATGGCAAAGTCTGACACAGCAGCTGGGTGCTGGGCCATTTGCATAAGTTGAAATCAGTGCTGACCACAGATAACTATTACAGTAATGATTCTGGAAATGGAGCGTTTCAGCAGCCAATGCACTTTGGCTGCTGTCACCTTTGCCAGTGGAAAAGCAGTGGCAGAGCCAGGCACAGCCTCCCTGGGAGCCTGCACCCACTGCCCTCTAAAACCACCATCACACAGACTGCTGAAAGTTGCCTGAAGTCACCCTCACAGCAGTACTGGCATTTCTGCATATCAGTAGGAGGTTTGTTTATTATTTGAGCACATGCCATACGTTACTTTGGAAGGCTGCTGGCCTGCTGTAACGTGAGGATTGTTTTCCCTTCCCCCAACCCAGCCCATGGACACGTGTGGTGTTAACAAGGAAGGTCATTTCCTTGGCTGCACAGTCAGGCATTGCAGTCTTGAGCAACTCACTGAGGTGGCTGCCTCATGCTGCAGGTGAACTAGAAATTTCCATCATCTCCCAGTAGAAGCAAAACATGAAGATAGAGCCACCACTGATTCTGCAGGATTGAATACCTTATCAATCTGTTCTTACATATGTATCAAAAGCACTACTACTCTTGCCTGAGCCATTTGCTGAGCAAGATTTCCACTGGCAAATGGATCTGAGAATTTTTGTTTGTGTAAAGTTATATTTTTGTTATTATGAGGAAAGCAGAACTCTTTTTTTGTGAAATTCAGGAATGGGTGTGCTTTTTAGTGAAGTAAAAAAATAATTAGTTCTAGGAAAAATGAGGAAAGACCTGTTTGCCTTCAAACATGCTGTAGCCCTCGACACAGAAACCATGCCCGTGTACAGACATTGCTTTGAGCTTATTGAGGTGCTAAGTTCTATAATTACACAAACACTGAAAAGTAATGAACACTTCAAAGTTTGTAATAACTAGCTGCAAAACAAAAAAAAACCCTCCAAACATATGCACATCTCTTCATATATATGTGGGAAAAGGTGCAAAACAGAGGGAGGGGAGGAACTATCAAAATTAATACTTTGTATTTACACATGAATAATGAAAGGGGTTTAAATATTGAGTATTTAGAGTAAAATATTTCAGTAGGCAGGATACAAAACTGGTACTATCATATCAATTACTATTAATGTACCTGATATTTGTATGGGCAGTACAAAACTGCAGAGAAGAATGTAAATTTAATAAGGAACTTAAACCTGCATCCCAAGGGGAGGGGAAAAAAAATAATTAAAAAAAAATGTTTCCATTGGGAGCAAGGTAAGATTTAACATAATCACTCTTGGCCATCATGTTCAGTAAGACAGTGGAAGAAACTGCCACTGTTGGTTATTATGTGATGCTGGTATGAAATATACTTTGGACTTTATAAAAAAGAAAGGAATATATATCAGTGAGGTCTCTATATAGCACCATTTAATGTGAAACATTTTCCAAATCAAACATGCTGCTTTCCACAGCTAAACTTATTGTCTTTGGCAGGAATACTCATACTTGATGAACCCACATCTGGACTGGACAGTTTTACTGCACATAACCTTGTGATAACATTATCCAGACTGGCCAGAGGAAACAGATTAGTTCTTCTTTCACTTCATCAGCCCCGGTCAGATATATTCCAACTGTTTGATTTAGTTCTTCTGATGACTTCTGGAGTCACAGTCTACTCTGGAACAGCTAGAGACATGGTCCAGTATTTCACAGAACTAGGCTACCCCTGCCCAAGGTACAGCAATCCTGCAGATTTCTATGGTTAGTATCAAACACGGCCATAAAAAAAGGTTACTGGAAAACATTTGCTTTCATAAGTGTATCAGCTAGCATTGGTTTTTTATTGACCATACCTATCTTAGAAATGCTTTATAACTGACTCAAATCAATATTGCAGCAAGTTCAGTTTTTAATAAGATCCTTATTTGTCCATACAGGAAATGTAACAAGAACAAGAGATATGGACAGAATCAATTTTAAATAACTCTGCTTCTAACCCTGCCAGGTGTTGCAATTCTTCTACATGTTTAGCACACATTGCCATGTTTGAGCTGGTTGAAACTTTTGCCCTCACTGAGAAAGACATGGATGAACTGACCAATAGCTTTCTGTAGCAAGTTCTCTGATTTCTGAATCAAGAAATGTAGAAAACTAGTTTCCCAGTGTGAGGAATAATACACACCGGGAAGATTAAATTGGGAAAAAAGAGTGCTGCCCAACAGAGCACATTGGAAGGGAGAAAAAATAAACCAAGAACAGTAATCTTTTCATTTCTCTTCTCAAAGAAAGTTAACTACATGGGTTTAAATCCATTCTTCTGTGGATTTTTTTTTGTTTGTTTGTTTTGGCAACAAGCAAAGGGAATCTGGCACTGTCAATCTAATGGCAGTAGTCTTTTACCAGAGAGGCTGGTTCAGTTCCAGACCTTAGGTCTTTGCACTCAAGTTGGCTAGGAAACCTTCTAGAGACAACAGTCTCAATGCTCTGGAGTAACCTCTTCAGCTGTGCCTATGTGGCAGGCAGCATCAGCTGGTACCAGCTGTGCAGAGATAAACAGAAGTTAACCTCAGTGTCAAGCCCTGCAAAAAGACCTTTGTCACCACCACGGTTCAGAGCAGCCCTCAGCCAAGCTCAGCCTTGATGAAGGCTTGCAGCACCTCCTGCACGGGAGTGGAGAATATGAGGCAGTCCTGAGGAAACTTCTAACAGCAGCCTCTGGTTAGAGACAAACTCCCACAGCATGGAGCTGGGGGGAGAATGAGAAAGGGAGGTGGAAGGTCATTTAGCAGTACTCACAGAGACAGGGCATAGGAAGAGAAGAGAAGTATGGGCAGCATGAAGGTGGAAATGGGACAGGATGGTAGAGGATGCCAAAGCCAGAAGGAGCACCTGAGAGTAACACACAAATGCTGGCTGTGTGTCTGACAGAGAAAGAGGAGACCATGGCAGAAGGGCAGAAGTAGGGCAGACTGCCTCTCATTTCTGAGGGGCTCCTGC